GTAGATGGTCTCTGGAAGCCAAAAAGGGCAAGGAAATGGATCCTACAGCCAACAGAAGCAACCAGCCTTGTGGGTGCTTTGATTTTAACCTAGTGAAAGTGATTTTGGACATCTGTAAGGAAATATAATAATACATCTAATTAATCTGTGTTGCTTTAAGTGGCCAAGTTCATGTTCATTTGTTACAGGGGTCATAGGACACTAATGCACAAACGAAAGCAAATGGGAAGGACTTTGCCAGTGAAACCATACGGTTTTTTGTTTGTTTGTTATTTCATGTATTTCCTTACTCATTTGTATAAATTAGTTTTTCATCAGCTACAGTAAAGCATAATTTGACTGGGTGTGATAGCTCACACCTATAATAATCCTAGCACTCTGGGAGGCCAGGGTAGATGGATTGCCCAAGCCCAGGTGTTCAAGACTAAGCTGTGCAAGAGGGAGACCTCGTCTGTACTAAAAATAGAAAACCTAGCCAGGCATCTTGGCAGGCACCTGTAGTCTCAGCTACTTGGGAGGCTGAAGCAAGAGCATCACGTGAGTCCACTGTGCGCTATGAAGGCATAGCACTCTAGCCTGGGTGACATAAGTTTGATAAGTTTTGCTATATGTATATACTGTGAAACCACTGTCACCATCTAGATAATAAACATTCATCACTCCAAAAAGCTTCCTTCCATTCCAATTCTGCATTCTTGTTCCTTCTCATTCTCTATGATCCTGAGATTTCTTCTTTCTCTCTACTTTCCCCTTTCACAGATTCCTCTCTAGCTAGAGAAACCCAATAACTATCATGTAACCAGAATCTGTCTCTATGGCCCCTTTCCATTTAGCCTTGGATTCAGACCTCCCCAGAGTAGCACTCCCTGGGCAATTACTCCTCCATCTGACATGTTTCATGTTCCTTAGCTTAGACCTGTTCAAGGCACTTACATCAGCCAAGTTGCAGCAAGTTATCTGGAAGAAAAACATTTCATATTATTCTCTTATAAATCTTAGTACATTAATAAGGAACTCTCATTTTGTTCCCCCCTTTTCCAAAAATGAGCCACTCCCTGTGGAATTTTCCAACAGTGGTAGAGGCAGGCTAAGTATGTGGGTGCTGATAATATTTTCATTACAACCCCCTGTCTAGATTTGTATCAGGGCCAATCAGGGGACAGACACTTCTTAGGAATAAGAAAGTTTAATATACAGAACTATTAGCTATAACAGAAAGTTGGAGTAAGAAGAGATTGGCTACTAAGAGGCAAAGCAAATTCTATACAGTAGCAGATATAAGAAGCTGTGACTCCTTCTGTAACTAAACTATAGCACCCAAAGAAGAGGCCCATCCCTGCCTCTGTCCCCCTCTCCCCACATACTCATGGCAGAGATTCAGATCTTGTTGAGGGCATAGTCCTGCTTCACTGGATGGCAGAAGTTGCCGTGGTGCTGCCCTGTCAGAACTCACTGAACATCCTCCCTCCAGAACCTTCTGGAAACCAGTGCTCTTTAAGATGTTAGGTAAGCTGCAGATGGACAAATGTCCTGCTATAGGCACTTAGGAGCCAGATGCTGGAGAAGTCCCCTGTGCTACACGAGTCCAGTGCTAGAGAACCTATGCTCCCTTTGGGAGTCTGATGCTGGAGAAGTTTCCACGGGAACCTACAGAAAGAAACACAGTGGACTCACCAAGACTCCTTTGTCTTACTATGTCATTCTAGTGCCCTCTACTGCCAAAGCTTAACATTTGGCCAGTAGTCAAAGGAAAATATTTTAAAAACTCAGCTCCATTTTCACAGAGCAGCCAAACAGGGTGAATTTAGAGCTGAGAGGCAATAAGGCAATAAGCTGATGATTAGCACAAATTTGTTTATAAAATTCTCATACAAGCATATAGAAACTTCAGTTCTTTTCTTTTCTTTTTTTAGAGACAGAGTCTCGCCCTGTTGCCCTTGGTAGAGTGCTGTGGAGTCACAACTCACAGCAACCTCCAGCTCTTGGGCTTAGGTGATTCTCTTGCCTCAGCCTCTCTAGTAGCTGGGACTATAAGTGCCCCCACAATGTGCCCGAATATTTTTTTGTTGCAGTTTGGTGGGGGCTGGGTTCAAACCCACCACCCTTTGTATATGTGGCTGGCGCTCTGCTCACTCAGCCATAGGTGTCACCTGAAACTTCAGTTATTTTCATTAAACAGTGGGTATTCTATTTGAATTCTGTCAGTTATTTTACTTTACAGTAAGGGAAATAATCTATGGATTCCAGACCTTGAAAGAAATTTCCAGGCTCTATTTTTTAGGACACACTTTCTAAGTACAACATTCTGATTAGGTAGTGTACCTTGGTGATGGACCAAACTCTGGAACAGAGTGCTTAGATTTGAATGTGATTCTGCCACACATTGACTGTGCGAGCTTGAGTAGCTATTTACTCTGTTGGTGCCTCAGTTTCCTCATCTATAAAATGGGAACAACAGCAGTACCTAACTCATTAGCTTATTATGAAGATTAAGTAAGTTAATACAAGTATCTTACACTTAACAGTAGTGAGCCATTTCTGAAAATCATACTTCTGGACAAAAACCTGGACTCTAATTTATCCGTATTATTTTAAACAAGTTTTTTAAACTGCAACTAAGCACACTAAAATTTCTCTCTTTATATATAAACTCACGTTACCATGTAAAATGCTCAAAACATCACTTGCTGATCACCAAATAACATTAACATATAAAAGCAGTAACTTTCGGTGTTTCATATGTAGAAATATCTTTTCCATTGCATCATTGGAATCATTTTTCTTTCCCACTTTGCTTACTTCTGTACAATTTTCTTTAATGCTTTCCCAACTCTGTTTGAGCTCATTATATAATACTAGGCAAAAAACAAGTGTTAAATATGAAGAAGCAGAAAGTAGATTCAGGACTATGACCCAGTGGTGATGAAGGCAACATAGTGAACAGGATGGTGAGAGCTTCTGGATGGGAGTAATATAAGGTGCACCTCTGAGGGGCACCCCTTTTGTTGACAATAATTGCACTTAACAAAGATTTGTGCTGGAATCTGATCTGTTACCAATTGTATTCAGAATTTTATTTTTTCTTGTACACTGTACAAGAAAATGCTTGTTTTAAAAGCATTGTACTGAGTTTGAGTTTTTAAGATGTAAAAATATATATTTATTTCCTATATAAACATCAACTGGAGTATGTCAAAATGGGGATTTTTTTTTTAAATTTTGGGTATTAAAAACTAAGAATCTAAGGGAAAACGCTAAGTTTAGGGAAATCTTTTAGGCACGTCTGGCCTCTTACGGGTTTGTTATATTATGGGTCTGAGGCATTAACCTTGTCAATAGTTGTATTCTGTCATCCATTCGTTCTTTCCCTTCCAAAAGTATTTTTGAGGCCAGGGGCTCAAGCCTGTAATCCTAGCATGCTGGGAGACAGAGGAGTGAGGATAGCTTGAGCCCAGGAGTTTGAGGTTTCTGTGACATGGGCTGACACGACCATACTCTAGCCTGTGTCTCAAAGAAGAAAAAAAAGGCCAATTGGGGTGGCTAACACCTACAATTCTAGCACTCTGGGTGGCGGAGGAGAGTGGATTACTTTTTTTTTTTTTTTTTTTTTGAGACAGAGCCTCAAGCTATCCCCCTGGGTAGAGTGCTATGGCATCATAGCTCACAGCAACCTCAAACTCCTGGGCTCAAGCGAATCTTCTGCCTCAGCCTCCCAAGTACCTGGGACCACAGGCGCCTACCACAACGCCTGGCTATTTTTTGGTTGCAGCCGTCATTGTTGTTTGGCAGCCCGGGCTGGATTTGAACCCACCACCTTAGGTGTATGTGGCTAGCACCTTAGCCACTTGAGCCACAGGCACCAAGCGGAGAGTGGATAACTTGAGCTCACAACCAGCCTGAGCAAGAGCGAGATCTTGTCTCTACTAAAAATAGACAAATAACCTGGTGTTGTGGCAGACTCCTGCAGTCCCAGCTACTTGGGAGGCAGAGGCAAGAGGATCACTTGAGCCCAGGAGTTTGAGGTTGCTGTGAGCTATGACGCCAGCGCACTTTACAACAAAGTGAGATTCTTGGCTCCTCGCCTGTGGCTAAGCGGCTACGGTGCCAACCACATATACCTGAGCTGGTGGGCTTGAACCCAGCCCGGGCCTGTCAAACAACAATGACAACTACAACAAAAAAACTGCTGAGTATTGTGGCAGGCACCTCTAGTCCCAGCTGCTTGTGAGGCTGAGGCAAGAGAATTGCTTGAGCCTGGGAGTTTGAGGTTGCTGTGAGCTGTGATGTCACAGCACTCTACCGAGGATGACAAAGTGGGACTCTGTCTCAAAATAAATAAATAAATAACAAAGTGAGATTCTGTCTCTAAATTAATTAATTCATTAAATTAAAAAAAAAATCTTTGAGCTCCTACTACAGGCTAAATCCTACTGCTCGCCCTGAGAGGAAACAATAGAGAACGAGATGTGGTCTCCTCCTTCCTGGAAGCCACGGAAAGGATTAACCAGAAGATCATCTACTAAAATTTCAAAAGAAGCTCTCCAGTGTTGTGTTATCTTTGGTGGGGGAGGAGGGGAAAAGGGGTGGTATTATCATATTCTAATTGCCGACCCTGGACCGCATTTGCCGCAGCATTCGATTGGCACTAAGGGACGCTTGCGGAGCACCCCAAGCCAAAGGCAGCAGAAAAGGGAAGCAGCCGAGGGAAGGAAACGAAAACGGCCGAGCCTGCTTGGGCTGGACTGGGGCAGCGAACCAAGGCAAGGCAAGCTGGCAGAGGAGTCGGCCGAGACCGTTCAGTCACTGATTTCGGTCCTGGGACCGACTTCACGTAAAGATAACCACAGGTTCGGACCTCTCTGCAATCCACCTCCTCAGGCTCCACCCCTGGAGCTCCCGCCTCGCTGATCCCGCCCCGGAACCTTGTGTTCCGGAACTGGATACCGAGGTTCCTCTCGTTGCCACCCGACCCAATTCTCAAGGAACGCTTCCGTGGCCCAAAGATGTCTGCGGCCGTTCAGAAGTCACATGTGAGTGCCGGCAAAAAGCTGAAGAAGGATGCAAAGAAGAGGAAATTGGAAGCCAGAGCCATAGCTTCGGAGCTGGAAGACGAGGTCAAAGGCGCTTCCAACAGCGAAGGTAAAGTGCTCTCGCCGAGCTTTGGCGTCCAGGAGGAAAGGCCGGGCTGAGTTCGCGGGAAGCAGGAGTTGCGCTTGCATTTGCTGCTAGCTTCCTGGGGTTTATTTTAGCACGATGTGTTTCTCAGCGTTGTTAATAATGAAACAGCTGTTTCAGGGGAACAAAAACTTACCATAGCAACGGATAAAAGGAAAGAGGTGTTTGAAACTGCAGAAGTGGGTTAGTCTCAGAGGGAGCACACTATTCTTGTGTGTGCATGCGTGTGTTTTAGAGGCTAAATCGTAGTGAATGGAAGAAGAGTTAGGAGGTTAAGGTGGAATAAATAAAAGTTGCGTTTGGTAACTGACTCAGAGACGCTTAATAAGGAAAGGAATGAAGGACAAGTTTTGAGGTCTTCAACCATGATATGCCCTGCTTCTCTTTACCATCATTCTTGGCACCAAATTCTTAGGTTACAAGGAATTGAAGACGATCCCCGTTTTCCTGCTGCCTAGTTTTTGTTCCTTTGTATTAGCTGATACTAACAAAACAGAGCTATTCTTTTATAATGTGTGTTTCCTTATGTCAGTTACCTGCTTGAGATGATTCAGTGGCTTCTCATTTTAGTATAACATCCATAATCTCTATGATCTGGCTTAGGTTACTACTAACTGTAATACAGCTATACTGATGCCCTTCGGGTTTGTTTAACACATCGAACATACTCTGACATCGGGATTTCTGCACTTGCTGGCTTCACAACTTAGAATGCTCTTCAGATTCTTGGACGTCTCTCTCTTCCTCACTTCCCACAGCTTCTGATCCAGGCCCTGACCACCCTATCTAACCTACCACCACTACCTTTCTTGTTTTCCTGTCTTTGATTTTTTACTTGCTACCCTATTTTGTTTTTTTCTTAGCACTTCTCAAACCATCTGACGTATATTTGCTGTGCCTCTCCCAACTGGAATATAAATTCCATAAAAGTAGAGTTTGTTCTATCCCCAGTGCCTGTTGTGTAGTGGGTCCTTCACGGTAAATGAAATGAATGAATCTAGACTTCAGGACCAAGAAGAAACTGTCTTATGTCATGGCAAGTCCCTAGGTTATTATAGTCCTCATCCAGTGACAAGGGACCTCACGAAAACAAACTATGTATTTGTGGATTAGGAATTAGAATTTTTAGTTTTGATAATTTTTGAAAAACTCTGTAGACTAGTTCAAAGCATTGTTGTTGGCAGGGCTTGGTGGCTCATGCCTGTAACCCTAGCACTCTAGGAGATCAGGGACGGGTGGATCACATGAACTTAGGAGTTCAAGACCAACCTGAGCAAGAGAGAGATCCCATCTGTACTAAAAATAGAAAAACTGGTCAGGAATTATGGTGGCACCTGTAATTCCAGCTACTCAGAAGACTGAGGCAGCAGAATCACTTGAGCCCAAGAGTTTGAGGTTGCTGTGAGCTCTGATGGCCACTACACTCTATCCATATTGACAGAGTGAGACTTTGTCTCAAAAAAAAAGAGAGAGAAAAGAAAAAAAAGGGCAGTCTTGTCCAAGAAAGAGAAATTGTTACATTTGGTGCAAAATGGCAGCACTGCCTACCAGTTTGGGTGTAAATAGGATTTCTTCATTCAAGTTCCAGATAGTAACAAATTGGAAATGTTCTCATTTCTCAATGCATTATTATAAATATTGATTAGGTTTAAGTTCTCTTGCTATTGTAGGTCAGTTACATTATCAATTGAGAAGGCTTTTGTCTGATATGGAAACCTAATTATCCTGTTCAGTTCAGGGAACAATGTTGTGTTCCCTAGTCACCCCTAGGTGTTGAGGACCAAAGGATGAATAAATTCCTGCTTTATGATTTCAGATTTAGGGAAGACTTATATTTAACATGGGACTACAATACATTATATTGAGTATTATTAAAAGGTAGTTAGTTACCCAAACCGTGGTCTAATTTAGGAACAGTGACGATGGAAGCTTGAGAAAGCCATATCCTGTAGAACCTGGCCTAGGCGTTGCTTTCTTCTGTGTTATAACTGCTGGTAGTATACTGTGTTATGATTATATTTTAGCTTATCTCTCTCCTTATAGATGTCAGTTCTGAAAATGCTGGAACTATGTCTTGTTTATCTTTTTTTTGTGTCTTCTTTGCACATTTTGGTATTTAGTAAAATTTTTTGTTGGATAAATAAATAAATTAGGATATTTAGATCTTAGGTAGATGAATAGTTTTGTAGGCCTGGAGGTGGAGAGGACGATTTTCTGAGACTTAGAGAAAAGCATATATAGTGGCATGCAGTCTCTTAAAATTCACTGCCTATTTCAGATAAAATGAATCATCTGCTATGGCTCTAGCTGTTCAGAGAAGTGACTAGAAGTGAAACTAGGAACAAAGGTTAAAGACAAGTGGTAAAGGCCTTGTATTTGTAAGCAGCAGGGGGCTATTGAGAACTTTTAAGCAAGAGAGTGATAGACTTTTGTAAATGTTACTGCTGGAGGTATATTGACTGCCCTGGAGTGCCAGAGCAGTTAGTAAACAATTACTGTGTCAGGGCCTGCACTAGAACGGGACTGGAGACAGAGAGAAGGACTTCACTGAAATGTTTTGCTGAAAGAAAGTATTAAAATTTCCAGACAACCACCTTTCAAGTAGATTTGTGGTATACTATACTGTTGGAGGAACTGAACTAATACAATAGAACCTCTGTAGGTTGACCACTGGTTAACGTATGGAGCTGGTTAACATAAGGAACTAGGCCTGCTGTACTGATATGTACATGTGATGCATGTCTGGTCTATAAAAATTAGGTGAACTTAAGGGGGTGGTCAGTGTAGGTCAGCTGAGGAGGTTCTACTGTAGTTACATTTTTGGAGTTTTTCTGTGTGTCAGGTACTGTTCTTAGTTTCTTATATGTATCGCTTCAATTCCGACAACCAACTGTATGAGAGATACTACTGTTATCCTCATTTTACGTTTAAGAAAACTGAGGCTCAGAAAGGTTATAACTTGTTCACTTGAGTGCAGAGGCTCACCACTGTACTCCTCGCACTTTAGGAGGCTGAGGTGGGAGGATTGCTTGAGCCAAGACCAGCTTGAGCAACGTTGTGAGATCCTGTCTCTGTAAAAAAAAAAAAAACCTAGCTGGGTGTGGTGGTGTTGCCTGGTCAGCTTCTTGGGAGGCTGAGGTAGGAGAATCTCTTGAGCCTAGGAGTTTGAGGTTGTAGTGAGCTATGATGCCACTGCACTTTAGCCTGGGCAATAGAGTAAGACCCTCCTTCAAAAAAAAGTATATAACTTGATATATAACACAACTGTTATTGAAGTTGGCAATAGAGTCTGCACTGTTGACCAGATAGAGGGTCTGCTGTATTAGTATTATATGATGTATGATGATGTCTCTTCTGATGTAATAAAATTGCTAGTCTCATTTTTTTGTTGAGAAATAAGCTTTCTAACCTTTGATAACAGTGGTATTGGTCTGATATAACTTCGGTAACATTGCAAGGTAACTGATGGGATTTCTGTTTTACAGATGAGAAAACAAGCTTGGAAATACCATTTCCATTATATCATAATGCTTCCTAAGATGTTTACTGTTATTTCACTCTTCTTCCTTCATAATCTAATACATAATTTAATCATGCATTCGTGGTAAAATTCAAAATCAACAATAAGGATTTGTTTTTATTTTGCCACAATAAAGTATCTGCAAGTAATAATGGTTTTGACAACTATTGAGTCTCCATTTAGTTTTTCTTTTTAGAGACAAAGTCTTACTTTGTTACCCTCAGTAGAGTGCTGTGGTGTCACAGCCCACAGCAACCTCCAGCTCTTGGGCTTAGGTGATTCTCTTGCCTTGGCCTCCTGAGTAGCTGGGGACTACAGGTGCCTGCCACAATACCTGGCAATTTTTTTGTTGCAGTTTGGCTGGGGCCAGGTTTGAACCTGCCATCCTGGCTATATGGGGCTGGCGTCCTACTCACGGAGCCACAGGCGCCGCCCATCCACTTAGTCTTTTCATGGACACCTCAAACTCAGCATTTGCAAAACAATTTATAATTTCTTTTCACAGCACTGTTTCTGTCTCTAAGAATGTTACCATATCTATGCTCTGCCCAAGCCAGAAATGCAAGTGTAATCCTTTACTCTTCCTTTGCTTCTGTATCTGGTTTTATTAATTCATTTCCTCTGTTGATATCATTTTAGTTCTTGCCAGCGTCTCTGGTTCTTGTGTTAGTACGTAGTATCTTGTGTGTTTTTAGTATAGGCCTGTTCCCGGAAGTAACTACCAATGTTCATGGACCACTTTGGTTTTGTTTTTTAATTTCTGGTTTGTTGTGGACATATATTTTAAAAAATCAATTAAAAAGAATGACCAGAAACATGACCACATGTTTGAACATCACAGTAACATAAAATTGCTATGCAAGTTTCTAAATGTTTACTCTCAATTTTTGAATTTACAGTTGATTTTCATTGTTTATTCTAAAGTTCTATGAGGTTGCAGAAAATACATAATTAGTGAATAGAGAATCATTCCTTTGGGAGAAATACAGGGTTAGGCTCCCGTGAGCCTCTGGTTAGAACATTTTTGTCTACTTACCAGTGTGTAATCTTGTTTTATGTACATTAACATTGAACTCATGGCTAACAATTTAACTTGTGCCTGAACAAAGCTTATTTAACACATGTATTTTCTCTGTGAGGTTCATCACCATCTTCTTATGCATAGGGACAGTAGACAGCACTTCAGCCTATGTTTGGGGGTTATCTTAAACAGTGAAATCAAGAGAAAGCAGAGAAATGTGAAATGTGGTGCTGCTATTGGAAAGACCTCTGTTTACAGTAAGGAGGGCTGAAACAAGAAGGCAGAGTGCCAGATTATTCATCCTCAGCATATTTCATGGAAAACACAGAAGTATAACCCATGCTTTGTTTGAACTTAATTTTTCCTCTTTGGCTTTTATTTTTTTGTTTTTTGACACACTGTATAAGATAGAAAATTGTGCAG